GGGGGGATTGATTAGCCCGGTGATGGGTATTAAGGAGGGCACATACTGCATGGAGCACTGGGTGTTATATGAAAACAATGGATTGTGGATTACCACTTCAAAAACTAATGATGTATTGTATGGTGACTAACATAACATAATAAAATTTAAAAAAAAAAGTTAGGTGAGAGAAAAAAGTAGAAAGGATTTTTCAAATGGGTCTGAATAATACAAGTCCAAGGCAGACTCTCATCATCACCCCAACTGTTGTCCTTTGAGGCTTTGTCTGCTCAACCCCATGAGAATCTATCATTTTCTTCTTAAGTGTTTGTAAAATTCCCTTCATTCCCTGAAAATGTCAATGATTGACTTTGAAAGATATTTGAAGTCAGCACATACTTACTCAATGAATGAATAAATAAGTGAAAGATGCTTGTTACCAGAAAATCACCCATTTTCTCCTTTGAAAAAAATAAAAAGCATTCCCATATAATTTTCCCACAGTCCCTGTAAGTGACTAAAACAGAAAAATAAATAAATAAGTAGCCTTCCTAGGGAAAGTTGCAGTATGCTCAAATATACTCAGCTCACATTTGAAAACTTTATGATATATGATGTGTTGCACATCACGTGATATACAATGTGTTAAATGAATAAATGGCCATATGTAACAATGGTGTCTTCATGGCCTTTTGTCTCAGGCCTCAAGGAAGTGTGAGGTCATTTTACCTGGGGAAGCACTCTGTATATGGCATTGCCACACTGAGTGACCACTAGGTCCCGGTCAAATATTATGTGAAAAGGAAAAGCTTTGCAGAAGGTATAGGGGCTGATGCGTGATTCCTGGGTACCATTTTCTTCAAATCTATCAAGATCTTCATAAAAGTCTTCTTCTTTTGACTCTTTTTCTTCAATTAAAAATTGAGTGTGATCACATTCTTCATTTCTTTGCTGAATAACCTGGATTTCAAAGGGGAAGATGGTGTTGATTGTCTGCATTTCAGTTTGGTTAAAATACCTAAATACCTAAGAAACTGGTTATGAGAATTGCATTTAGAGGGTCAATTATGCAAATACTATGCATGTCTTAAATAGGAAACTATTTCTAGACATTGTCTTGTGCAATGTGAAAACTGAATAATTATTTACAATAAAATTGCGAATCTGGTATGGGTCCTTTAGTAGCCCAGACGGCCTCTTGGGTAGAATTAGGAGAAAAGCACCCCCTTGTCCTGTAGGCTCCCACTCAGCCAGTACACTTGTTCAGTGAACAATCTACAAAGCATACAAAGTGGCTCTATTTAATATGATAAAAAATGACATTCACAGAGAGAAATGAAATTTAATAGAGATATATATTTTAAAATACATGCAATGTCACGGTGCCTGGGTGGCTCCGTTGGTTAAGCATCTGACTCTTGATTTCAGCTCAGGTCATGATCACCGGGTCGTGAAATCGAGCTCCATGTTGGGCTCCGAACTCAGGGAGGAGTCTGCTTGAGGTTCTCCCTCTCCCTTCACCCCTCCCCCTGCTCCCACTAAATAAATAAATAAAATCTTTAAAAAAATACATGCAGTGTCATTTTTATCCATCAGTTGGCAATTATGCAAAATACCAAATTGGGTAAGACACAGAAAAAGAGTCATCTCAAATACCACCAGTGGAAGGGGATCTTGATTATACATTCTGAAGGGTAGATTGACAATATACAAGTAATCCCCAAAAAGTTCTATATTCTCTGATTTAATTACAAATCTAGGAACTCATTCTGAGGACCGTGTGGGTCACAAAGAGTCAAACAACAGTTCTCTTTATTGCACAGAGCTAAGATCGTGTATTATCAATAGCAACACAAATTTTAAAGTATAAGACCTGGCTTCTTTCACCTCGTAATCTAATAAAAGAATTAGAATTAGAATTAGATCTTTAAAAAAAAATTAGACTAGATTTAGAATTAGATCTTTTTAAAAAAAAGAGGAAAATTTTTACATCACAAAATGAGAGATTCCAACTATATTCCAGGGACAGACGAAAAAAATCTACAAAGAAATAATGAACAGCAGAACAATATCTGATTTTATATTCTCTTACAATTTGACTATCCACATTATGGGTTTTTTGTATGTTGAAGGCTACAGCTTAGCCAGTCACATATCCTTCTGCTGCCCAACTGGTGTGTGCTCACAGGAGATGCAAACTAGGTTTCATGTTGCCTTAAGCAATGTATAATTGGAAAGAGATATCTGCTGCCACAAGGAAAAAAATATCCTGTAGAATGATTTCCAAGGCCAAATGTAGAGTATTGCTGGTGCAGCACTCTTATAGCTCAAATATATATCTGATGAGGTCCACTGGCAGTGATAACTAAAGGTAAATTCACGGAGTATCATGCTTAATATTCTATATGTCACATGCGTTCAGAAGAGTCTCCATCACTGACCATTACCTTCATGTCTATTTCAGTGCCATGTATCTGTTGAGCTACTGTTTTGATGATTCCGATGACAATATCCTGAAGTCCTTCTCTCTCTGAGTAGTAGTGCAGAATGAGTCCTTTGCCCTTTTCTGCATCGGTGCATCTAAAGGAAGGAGCACGCATACCCGGGTAGATAGTAGCGAGGTGGTCATGCAGAGCATCAAGGTTCTGCAATAAAGAGGAAATGGGAAGAATAGATGATGCCTCCACAATGGCAGCTGACATTGAAAAAACAAGATAAGGAAACAAGGCCCAAATCTGAGGTTAGTTGGCAGAATGATTGAGTGAAGGTTCACACAGCACACAACTTTCCCCTGTGTACCTGGACAACTGTAAGGGATGAGCCATAGAGAACTTAAAGCTAAAGTAGTATGATTAAGACAAATATCTGAGGCTATTAACAGTTAATACACTTAAAAGAAGGATAAATGAACAAGTGGTATGTAATAAGAAGCAAGAAAAATATAGTTATGGGCTAAAACAAAGATATGCATATTTATAGGAGTTTGGGGAAGTTGTATATGCATGTTATAACAAACAATATGGATGCCCAAGGTGACCACATATTACCCTCTGTTTACACTACAATCCTAAAAAGTATGAATGCAAAAAATTATATCAGTGATAAGCCTATGAAACATAAGCGTATTATTTTGAGAGGTAATATTTTAGAATTAAAAACATTTTATAAGTTACAGTAGCAGGATTGTTTCATATTATTAGTACCCTCCAATCAAGATACAGCATCACCACGGACCTGTGAAATAATTATCTTTTGGAATGGGATCTTGGAAAACTAATACATTTACCAGTAAATGTTTTCTGTACTTGTAGCTTTGCCCTTAACATAGAACATACCAAACTCCCCAACATCCTGTTTTACTCACTGATACACAAAACTTATTTTATAATAAATTGCACCATTGCACCAGGAGGAATGGGGTAAACTGTATGTTTTATTTGGCCCAACATGGTCTTTCAAATAACAGTTCATAATGTGCTCGCCTGTGTGTGTCACACGTATGTCGTAAGATACACACATCGTAGCACAGTATAAGAATTAAGAGTGAGGTAGCTTTAGAATTAAGTAGACTTTGATTTAAAACATGACATTGTCCTCAGCCCTATAACAGCAGCGAACTAAACTGTCAACACCTGAAGGAGCAAGGAAACAATTATCCCCTAGAGACTACATAAAGGAACAGAGTCCTGCTGACACCTTCCTTAGGGTCTAGTGAGACCTTAATGGACTTTGACCGAAAAAATACAGAATAAATTTGTGTTGTTTTAGGCACTTATATTTGTGGTGATTTGTTACGGTGGCAATAAAAACTAATACACCAAGCAAATAGTAATTGACCAATAACTGGTCATTATCACTAAAGACAAACAGGTGAAATAAAATAGTTTCAGAATCCCATGAGGATAAAAGAATGCATCAAAAAAGAAGGTGCTGGAGAGAGGCCAAAATCGAACTACGGTTCTATTTCCAAATATCTCAAAGAAGCCAATTTAGGAAAACAGAAGAATCCAGTGAGACATTAGGAAGTGAGTACAAGGTGGCTCCATGGGTGCCCAAATTCGAGAAATACCCCACCAGGGCACTGATGGCACTGTGGTTTAGTTTTTTTCTGTCCCCTCCATTCAATGATTCATTCATTCTATAGTTACTCCATATGCATTATATATCATGAACTGTATGAGGTACAAGCTGGGGGCAGGGTAGAGAGTCAGACACAAATCTGCAGGACATGGATCTTGACTTTAAGCAGCTCATGGTTCATATCACAAATAAATGTGCAGAGTGGCTTTTGAGGCATAAAAATCGGAGCCAGTAGCTCAGACTGAAAGAATGGGGTCCAAAGACTTCAAAGAGAAGAGAAGCCCTGAGCTAGGTCATGAAAGGTTGACATTCTGATTCAGAGAAATGTTTCAATAGTCTTCTCAATTGAGTGAATCTGGTTTCTTTTTCAACTGCCTTCATGCCTAGTGATTTTTGTTTTCTTCCTGAAAAGTACACCTGTTAAAATCAAATCAGGCCCGCTCTTAACAAAAATTTCAGTTTGTCCTGATTGCCTCTAGAGGTTGCTATTGTCATATAAAAGGAATCCAATATGGCAGATGCTAAGTGTCGGACAGTTTATAGAAGCTGCAAGCCACTGAAGGCCTAAAACTATTTTACTTGGTTGAGTAGTAGGAAGTTCTTCCTGTAAGTTTTCCTCATGAAAATTCTTCCCTGGGAAGGGAAGACATGAAGACTGTTCCTTTATAACTCTTCCAGATCCCTTCTGCAACTACCGGGGTTGCAAAAAAATGTGAGAGAAAATTTGGTGCTAAGAAACATCATGAAAAAAGTTTAGTACTTATTCCCATTTCTCACAAAGTAAAAATTGAGCTTGTTGCTGCATTTAGGAAACGTCTAATGTGGTCAGTCCCGGGTACTATGCTGTGGCTGATTTCAAAGAAAAAAGAAATTGAGTCCAATGATAAATTGAAATACGTATCTTGATTTCTTTACATTTTCCCTCTACAAAATGTTCAAATACACCATAAATCAATAAGCCAACATCACTTCCATCCTCACCTATTTTCCTCTTGTGTCAAATTGTACCATTAGCACATTTCTATATGCATCTAAACAGATGGCATGAGACAGTAACTGGCACCATTTAAATAAGCAGCACCACTGATGCCAACAAAGGCCAGAGATAAGCCAGGATAGCCCAAGACCCTTTGCCATGAGTCACACAAAGGTAGACGCGGCACCCTAGATGTGGACCCATTTTAATTTAAATAAAAATACTGATAATCCTAAGGTATTAAAATTGATAATAAAATATTGCTTAAATTCATCACTTCAAAGCAAGTGGAATACCAAAACGCATCAAGCCAGAATGCTCACCTTTTAAGTTTTTGTGGTAACCAACTCTCCAGAGTTTTATTGTTTTATTGAATTTGCTATTAATTAAATGGACAAGTAAAGTGCTTTCCTGGAGCATAAAAGATTTAACACCACTTAATCTAAGATTGATTTTCTTTAGATAGTATCTAACACACAAAATACTCTCGGGATTTCTTTAGTTGCAGCTTTCTTTACTTGGTTTTATTGGTTTTATTCTCTCAAAATTCAAGTGATGACCACAGCCTGTCTACTATTAGAAATGGACTTCATGATTAAAAATTAAATTGATTTCATTTGAGTACATTTCTATTGCTAAAAATGAGCCTTCTTCAGTTACACTGTACTTCTTTGCAGCAACCTGAAAGACGACAAAAAAAGATTCTCAAAAAAGCCAAGGGACAACTCTGTCCACCTTTTATAATATGATCTATATAAAGCTAATTATTCATCCACATGATGGTAGCAATGTATTCTGGAGAACAAGAGTTTCATATTAAAACTGGTATTCTGTTTTATTTCTAAATATACCATGGGAATAGGTATACAAAAAAAGACCTGAATGGCCAGTTATAAAGAAGTACAAGTACATAAAAGAGACATAAAAAAATGTAAACACATATATTTTAGCACAGTAGATTCCCAGCAAACAATAAAGCAAAGCTTAAGTATGCTCTGACTTCATTTTTCTTAGCTTTATAAAGTCAGAAAACAAGAAAGGGATAGAGAGCAGGTTCATTTATCTATTTTCTTTCAAGATGCCAAAAAGAGTAGTCAGGTTTTTATTTCACTTCTTATGTTCTGATATCATTTTACTGCTTTTTCTACAAGCAAAACGAATATACTTTTTCTACTCAGGAATTCTGCTAATCCATTAAGTCCAATTCATCTTGTCACCTAGCATTTATTATTTACAGAAGAAAAATGAGTGCTGGCATCCTGGGAAACTGTGGTGGAGATCTGGATTTAGTACAATCCACAGATTTAGGAAACAAATGAGAATTTATTATTCCTTTGAGAAATACTTTGAAGTTCCATATTTTCAAAGATCTTGGAATGGTTCAAAATAAATGCAAGTTGTCTCTGTCAGATGCACAGTAAAAATACGTTCATACATAATTATAGAGGCGGAGTTTCCAGGAATTAACTACCTCATTTCCCTGCTTCCTCGGCATCTAATGAAAAAATCTCTAAATGACCCACATGTTAAGTGGGTGGAGTAAGTCGTCGCCTTGAAAGTTTTAAGAGAGATTTTTCAGTCTCCAAGTAGCCTTATCCTAGTGACTGGGGGGAAGGGAGTGGCCTGTGTTATTGGAGAACATGACTGAAGTTTAGATTAGGAAGAAACCTTCAAAATCAGTCATTTCAAACCTCTCTTTTTTAAGGAAGAAAGATGAGATCAAGCATTTCCTTTCTTTTTACTTCTTATACTTCTGAAAAACATGACGAACACCAGCATTTGTGTATAAAGTGGCATGCAATTTGAAACATATTTTGTCAAGTTTTATAAGACATAAGTCATTTTAGAATTTGAACATCAGAAAATGAAACAAGCAGGACCTAAAGAAAGTTGGAAAACCCAACCGATACAACGGGAAGCACCAAGGTTGGGGTGTGAATAGCATGAGATCAGAACAAGTAAGAAGTTAATGCATTCATGATACCCCTCCTGCCTTTTCCTCTTGGAGCTACTTCATGGGAAATAGCCTTCCGGCTGAAAAGATACAATCTTTTTAAGAAGAAATAATGTAAGGCACTGTTTAAAAAGAAATTGTATCAGAGTCACGAAAACTGTTTCACTGGTAATATTGTTAAAACTACATATAATTATCATTACCAGCCTCTCAAGAAAAGTATGTTAATTAAAGAAAAAAAGGCAAATAATCATAGAATTACCTCTGTAAAATATTTTACTTATTATACTGTTTTTAAATTCATGTTTACAAAATATCCCATTTATATACTGCAATTGACAATGCTTTATAAAATTGTGAAAATATATGTCAGTTATTCAAAGAGAAAACAGTCTTACAATTCTAAAATACTCATCTTCCCTTATAAGTCCTTACTTGTCCATTTTAAAATTGCAGGTTATAGAAATTGGCATTTTGGGTGTTGAGAGAAACAGGTCCTTTTGAAATTCAAAAGTTAAAAATAAAATGAATGGTGCATTTTTGTCTAAGAAATATTATAAATAATTTAGGGAAGTATTAGAATTTCACAGCTGTTCAGGAAAATCCTCATATTTCCCCAAATAACACCACACAAA